ACAGCGATTCTATACGTTAACCGCAATTTTGGTGATGCATAGAATTAGGGGAGGAAGGAGGGGGCCGAACGATCCTATAAACCACATTATTCCTATCAGAATAGTGGTTAAAAAGAAAGAAATATAAATTAAAATGCATTTCTTATGTACTAAATACACAGAATATAAGCAATTAATTCATAATTAAATATTTCAATTAATGATACAGTATTTTGTGTATATGCCTGCGATGAAACATATGCCTATAATTTGAATAATAATTATATTATATAATACAATATCTTTATTTTAATAACATTTTTAATTAATAAATTCCTGTTGTGAATACTGGCACACTTTTAATGCCAACATCTATTTTTCTAATCAAATTACAATCTAGGTAAATATAAATTAATATAATATTAGCTTTACCTTAGCTCAACCATAATCATTATTGAAATAGTGGTCTAATTATAAAAAATAGAGTACATAAAAATTTTATATCTAAAGTATTTTGTATATAAAACAAACAAACGCAAGATAATGTTGTATGTTTATCAAAAAAAAAAATGAATATGGTGCATTACATAGCAGTTATAATAAAATGATACTGATAAAATGAATGGTATTAATAATACCGGATTATATAATGCATATTTGAACAACTGTTTAATAATACATAAATTAATATAGATACCTACACAGATAGCTCAGGGCATTTATTAAGCAAATATTTTTACACTTGATAAACTTTTAAATTATCAGTACATGGTATATGGTTTACCAGGTATGCTCATACTTAAAACTAATAATACAATAATATGAGCAGGATATATTAGCTTTTTTATGGATAACAATAATTTTATTTAATTTACATTCATAGTTTATCTTTACAAAATCAGAAAATTATTTATTTATAACAATAATAAAAAACAATTAAACATATAATTAGATTGATTTAAATTAATTATTATAATAGATATAAGTCTGGAGGGAATGAGGTTTAAGATTATGCGTTAAGTGATTGTTGCCCTCTTTGATGGTCAGCTCGACGTTGTCGTCGCTCTCGTTATAGATCACCACAACTATACCGCCGTCTGGTCTCTGGAAGGCAGTGGAGGCCACGTCCCGGTGCTGGCCGTCCTCTTTAAGGCCAATCTTGACTGAGTCGGGGACTATGAACTTACTGAAATGACCCAGGGTATAAAACGCCGCCGTCTTATAGTACTCCTGGTGGTTGTCGGCCACTGTTATGGGTGCGTCTGCCTTACCACCGCACCACCTTGGTCCACCCTTCGTGTCCAGCAGCATATTCCAGCCCATATAACCGGCAACCAAGTGGTTAAAGTCCTGTGGAGGTGAAGTAAAAAGGGTTTTAAATATTGTTTTTATGGATTTTTTAAATAAATAGTTTAGACTCTAAAAGAGGTTAGTGGTGTTAGATGTGTGTAATGACACATGGTAATAAAACCACGTATACATGTTAATGCAACTTAACAATTCTCACCTGGATGATGTCCCTGGAGTAGGCCTTGGATTGTTCCCACGAGCCGAGAACGTTGCAACAGTAGCTGGACTCGGTGTTCATGATGAATTTGCTGGGGTCCACATCGTGCGTTTTGTGC